TATCTTAGTTTTCTTGGCATCTGTTACAGGCTACCCCCCTTCTCTATCACTTTCTATTTTTGGACTCCCCTAGTTAATTGTCCATTGCCATCTTTTCCCATCCCTTTTTTCTCATCTTTCTCTGTTCTCCCTCCCTCTATATAGAGTATTGATTTCACGAGTTTATAGTCCTAACATATACTCTACATGCTTCCCCCTTCTTTATCTCCAAACCATATATTCTACTATCAAACCGCTGAGAAATATCAACCTCTTGTATATAGTATTTATATATATATATATATATATATATGCATGTGTGTGTGTGTATAAAAGGACTATTACCATTGGAAATCAATACTAAGAAGAGAGAGAGAGAGAGAGAGAGACCAAAAAAAAAAAAAAAAAGAGTATAGCTCTCACTCTCTTTGTTCTCTTAGTATTAATTTAAAGAGTCAAGTCCTTCTTGACAACCAACATGTTTCCATCCTTCCTTCAGCTCTCTTTCTTCTTCATTATCTCTAAACCATCTATCCTACCATCATCTATCATCGTTAAGAAATAAATGAGGCACATCACATCACTTGGTAATTTTTTTTGGAACTCTGATTGTTTCAGTCAATCAACTCCAATTTATGTCAACTTGAATTCATACAATTATGTACATATACAGTTATTTTACCATTTTTTTAATATGTGTACATTTTTAGCTTGTTTGAATAATTACACTGACGCAAATGCATTTAAACAATTTTGCATGTTATTGAAAAAATGGATAAGGTAGCCACAGTGTAAGTTCCTTGATGATTGAATTACAAGTATAGCTTCCTGAGTGAGCTGCCAAAGGGATTAACCAACCAAGTACCAGGTAATAGGCATAAATAGTAAAATTTGACTGAACGCTAGTGACAAAACCAACAACAACAGTTTTAAATGTTTGGTAAAATTTTTACCAAGAAAATTATGAATTTGAAAAGAATTATTGCAAAAAGAATACCGGTAGTATTTGAACATACAATCAAACATACATGACACATTTACAAATTAAAACTCATATTTCATTGCATCGATACAATAGAAGATGTTAAACATCGTAGATAAATATATCATTGGAATAACTTCACTAAATGCAGTACTGGCAGTGAATTGTAATAGGGCTATTTATATCACATTGTATCTGTAAGTACTCTCAATTGATGCATTATTTGTTTGTAGTGGGTATAATATTTAAGAATGGCAGACTATCAGAAAACAGAGCATATTGTTACAGAGGTGTGTTGGTCGAGTGGATACGTCGCCGGACTGTCGATCACAAGGTCCGCGGTTCGAGTCCCGCCGCTGCACTAATGTCCTTTGGCAAGACATTGATCTACATTTGCCACACTCCACCCAGGTGAAGTAAATGGGTACCTGGTAGGAATTTATTCCTTGAAATGCAGTGCGCGTAACAGCTGCACTACTAAAGCCAGGGTAATTATGCTGCATTATTGTAGAGCGCTTAGAGACTTCTGACAAAGTAAGTGTTAGGCGCTATATAAGCACTGTAATTATTATTTTGCTCATCAATTCTTCTGTAACGAGCCAGAAGGGCATTCATTTAAAATGTATTAATACAGGGTTCACTCTCTTCTGGCTCTGAACAGACCCATTTTAAAACCAAAACAGGGGGGTGTTTCACAAAAGATCCTAAGTAGAACTTAACTCTAAGTTGGATTTAAAAATTATGGACAGCCATTGGAGTCTTAAAATGAAATATATTCAAAAGCAGAAATTCAAGTATTTAAGACTTTTTATAAATTCCACATCCAGAACATGAAATCTCCTTGATGATAGAAAATATGAATGATTTAAATAAACAATTAATGCCTTTCAAAATAACTTTTACAAAATATTTTCAAAGATGCTAATGGCTTTCCATAATTTTTAAGTCCAACTTAGAGATAAGTTCAACTTAGGATCTTTGTGAAACACCCCCAGGCCCTACAAATATTGAAAGAGGTGGAGTGCTTACACTAAAATGCAGGGTAAACCAAATATATTCATAGTTTTAATTATAATAAAATAGGCTGGCACTGTCAGTTACAAAATCGTTTTCCACAATGGCCCTGTATGCCCAACATGTTTGTGGTCTACATGTATAAATGTACATACCTGCCTTGGGCAGTCATCGGTTTGGTTGGGGGAAAAAAGCAGGGGGGGGGGGGGGCGTTCAAGTACGAGGCCTAGCTTTCATAAGCCTTATGAATGTGTTAATTACATTACTGTACGCAGATCTAGTGTTCCAATTAATTACATGTTTGTACATTCAAAGTGCACCAATCATCTACCCGTAAGGCAAGAATGTATAAAATCAACCTCAAAAACAATCGGCATTCTATGGACTAATAGGGTATAAAAAAATTAAAGAGAAATTTAAAAAATACTGTGCATGGAACTAAAGTCGGACTTTAGTTCCTGCCATTACAACACTAGTTCCTGGCTTGCCTTACTTTATGGGAGCGTGTATGAGTGCTTTGACTAGTCTATTACACAGGGTGTATTTCAACTTGCAATATCTATTTACAGAAGCATTCAGGACGAAAAACAATTATGAGTAATGCATAGAGACATGAACCCGTGACATGGGGGGCAATGCATACTTAGTGATTGGCACCCTGTGAGTACATGTATGACTATCAGGCAATCAAAATAACAATGTAAATTAAACAATATATCACTTTCATTTTCTTCAAAGCAATACACAATTAGTGATTGCCACTGAAATCGATTCCGTTCAAACTCGCTCTTTAAAACTTCTACATACAAATAAGATTACAATGATGCTATCGCATAGAGGTTTGCATTGATAGAAGTACACACACATCTCTGTGTATTTGGTTGGGAGTGTATAACAATATGTTGCACTTCAAACAAAGCTCTTTAAAAACTCATTGTACACATTCTATCTGGCATACAACAAATAATTAATAATGCCGCATCATATATTAAAAGAACTGTCTGTATTACAAACCTGAGAATCAAAATTAGCTCACACAAATCTGTAATATAAACAATGTAATAGTAATAACGACTATTGCTACATAACAAACATAATTTTTGGAATGAAGGCAATCTAATTGGTCACATGCAAACATGTGACCATGTGTCATTCTTCCCTACCATGCCTACCATACAAAACAAGTTTCCATCAACAAGTTATGACCCATGGCTAGAAGTAATAATGCATGGTTATAAAGATGCGCATATGCGAATCTCTGGCACAAACAAAATTAAAGATAAACTTGAGTTCTGGTAATGCGATTGCATTGTGAAAGAAAAGGTGTGGAATGGATCAGAAAAGTTGATCATATAGCATGTAAGTTATGGTGTGTAATGCAAGGTTCTGGAGTCATCAAAATCATCATAAATTTGGCAGAGTCTTGGTAAAGTAACAATCACTTACACAGAAAGATGTATATGGGACAACACACATGGTGTCGGGGCTAGTACTACACTGATTTCCTTATCTTTCTATGCTCATTACTCAGCCAGTATACATTTTCTTCCAAAATTGTTCTTCCAAAATTGTTATCTTTAAGGCTTGATGAAATGCATGTCATTTTAAATGGCAAGGACATTGATGCACGCACTGAGATGCATATTGCGCTGTTTGGTTGACCTTATATGATGACACTCAATAAAGCAAGAGGAGGCCTCCAAAACTGTGCGACACTTGGCATTTTGATAATGAACTTGAGGTTAATAAACGTGACAAGTCTTATTCATTATCTAATTGAGACTTAGCCTGCATGCAGTACATGTATATATTTACTTATGCACTCACGAACATGAATTATTTGTATAACATGTCACAAATTAAATATAAGAAATTGGCACTGCCAAGAAATGATAATGAAATTTAATTGTTCCGTCAGAAATTATATTCAACACTTGATATCTCTCGTGAGTATGGAGATTCATATATAGATGAAGTTTAACGGCTTGCCTATACCAGTAGACATTTAAGTGATGGTTACCATTAGATTGCATTTACCTGGCAATATCAGATTTCCCAAAGAAATTTGAGAACCAAATTCCATGACTTTCCAAGGTCTCTTTTTGCATACGACTACCACGCCCATTGTCAGTTCGAACTGGAAGGCTGCCATAACCACACACAGCCTACACCCACAATCAATGTGTGGATGATTTTTTACAACCATTACAAATTAATTGCATAGCTTTTCAAATAACAAACTGTATAGCTCAAAGGGATTTTTCTTTTCTTGTCTGAGTTTTGTATAATGCAATGTAGTGAAATGCATGATTTTTAGCATCATTTTGAACAAAAGCTCTATAAAGATTCAGGGTCCTGCTCTCAACTGAACATTGTATCGAAGGAAAGCCATGTAAACGGTCAGTTGGAGCTTAGTGAGAGCTCACACTGATGATGAGCCAGCTGTCATGTCAAGTGACTTCTCACTAGTTTTGCATAGTCTGAATTCAAAGTATGGGCCTAAAAACACACTGCTCATGGGTGAAATGTGCTTGATACGTCTTAGAAGTACTAGTGTTGCTTTAAAAAAAAGCTATGAGATGAGTCAAGCTAAGGACTGTCCCTGAATGATGCTCATCTGATTTGGATCATTCTAAGTACCGGTAGTCTTCGATACCAGTCACCCCGATGTAAGTCTTGCATAGACTGAAATCACAAGCCAAGTCCTTTCCTGAAAGTGCTTTCCATACAAGCTGCTTGCGTAGTTTGATCCATTTTGAAATTCTAACACATAAAAAGATCTGGGGGGGGGGGGGTGTTTCACAAAGATCCTTAGTTGAACTTGTCTCTAAGTTGGACTTAACAATTACTGAAAGCCATTAGCATCCTTGAAAATATTTTGTAAAAGTTATTTTAAAAGGCATAAAATGTTGATTCAAATCATTCATATTTTCTAATATCATGGGAGGTTTCATGTTCTTGATGTGGAATTTATGAAAAGTCTAAAATACTTGAATTTTGCTTTTGAATATATTTCAAGATAAGGCTACAAATAGCTCTCCATAATATTTAAGTTCAACTTAGAGTAAAGTTTCACTTAGATTCTTTGTGAAACATCTCCCTGAATAAGTCTTGCATAGTCTAAACACAAGGGATGTGACGAGTTGCTTGTTGACCAGGTTAGAGGCTATGTTCGTCCACTCTTGAGTTCTTCCAGAGATTCAAAGGTGTTCTTAGTTCCAAGAGCAAAGCTGGCCATTCTGCAAAGGAGGAAAGATAAGGCATTGTCACTCATACTTTGAATGCAAGAGCGCCATTATAGCAGCCGTGTGAAAGCCAGAGGAAAGATACTGGAGCACAAGTAATGCCATGCAGATAGTCGTACACTGCAGAATAACTCACACAAATCATGATTATCGATTATCATTATATTCATCAATATCTTTAAAGGCATCGTTTAACATTGTTACATCTGAGATGCACGGCCCTACATATTATCAGTGTCTGTAATATAGTATAACATTGAAGCCCTAAAAAGATCGCGCTTCAAAATGATCAAGAAGTGCCTCAAAAAAGTAAAAAACTTTGAGTGACCGGTTTTACCATACTTGTTATCGGCTTGTAAAAGTCATGCGGTTCCTGACTGACCTAAAGGTTTATAATTATCATTGCAGCAAGAGCTAAATCCAGGATTTTGTTTCAGAATCTGAGACAAAGTTAACGGATCCCTTTAACATCATAATACATATTTGATTAACTCAAATCTAGATCGATATGAATTATACCTGTCATGAATGACGCCATCCACACCCACATCTGAAAGCTTCTGCCTGATGCTAGGATCTACCGTTCCTTCCCCCCAGCACATCAAGGTCAGACCATTGCTGTGGCATGACTTCACCAAGCTTGGATCCTTGATATAGTCCTCACTATGACCACACAGTCCCTGAGGGGAAGACATTCAAAGTTGTTATATAAATGGACAGAAAAGACCAACTTAAATAATACTTGGATCTACCGTTCCTCCACTCAAGCACATCAAGGTCAGACCATTGCTGTGGCATGACTTCACCAAGCTTGGATCCTTGATATAGTCCTCACAATGGCCACACAGCCCCTGTGGGGAAGACATTCAAAGTTGTTATAATGGATAGGCTTTATCTTTAAGGAGACTAACTTTAATGATACTTGGATCTACCATTCCTTCCTTCCAACACCTTAAGGTCAGACCATTGCTGTGGCGCGACTTCAACATGCTTGGTTCCTTCATACAGTCGTCGCATAGGCCACACAGTCTCTGCAGCGTAGGACCTAAAAAGGAAGCTCTGCATATACCTATATTAAAGAGATTGCTTTAAAGCCCGTCTGCACTAGTTTGGCCGGGGGGATTAGACCTCCCTGTAAGGTCACTGACAGGTGGTTATCTCATCAAATCAGCTCTCAATTAACATAAAAGGGGATCACGGGGTACCAATGGTCACCGATAATGCATTGTTTGCTATAAAGAGGGCGCAAGTAGCTATAAGTAGTGCAGAAGGGCTTTAAAGCTCACAGGCTAGGAAGAGCCAGGAATTGGGAATGGAGGGTTTGAATATTATCACAAACTTACCAAGATCTGATAAGCACGAGATGTGAGGATACTGTTCTCAACACACACACTTCTGGGGTCATTGTAGGACTCGTACAGGGAGGTTCTTCCAAAGTTACACATCATGACCGGATACTTGCACTGCTTCAGACGAATCCTGTATCAAGAGATTTACAATAGATACTATCATTGCAAATTGAAAAGTCTAATTTGAAATGGGAAAAAAAAAAAAAAACCCTTTTCCCTGTTAGATATCACAAAATTTCCTATAATATGCATCTAGTATCCAGGGATATCTTGGGCTTAGAATTTCAGTGGGACAATAATAAATAAAAACTCTCGAGACACTCACAACACTGACTTGCATGCTGAGCACAATGAACTGAAGGTTTGTCCATTGGATTTGATTCATGAAATCACTAAAGCACAATAGACTAGTGTAATGTGCTGTAATACATGAAGCCCTTGAAAATAAGTCTATTTTTATCTTTTATAAGATGATGACGTCGATCCTTATCAAATGATTGAGTGAAAGCGTACACGTGACCAGGCATTTATTTTGCCTCATGCATAATTTGGATAATGACCGGTCATTATCCAATTCTAATGGCCGGTCATTAGTAAAATCATTTTATAAAAAAAATGAATCATAATCTTATAAAAAAAATAATACACATCATTTGTTCGGGCATTAGTAAAATTACCCACACTCGGTACCTTCAAAACAGTCCAAACACCCTTGGCTACCACCTCGGGCGTGTTAGACTGTTCCAATTAAAGATACCTTGTGTGGGTAATTCTTACTAATGCGCTCACTGCTGTGTATTATTTGTATCTTATTAAGACCAGTGTGGTCTACAAGCGGGTTAACATACTGTATAAACAACAACAGGTTTGATTGTACAGGTGTAGAACTCAGCTACGGGTAAATATTCAGTCTCAACCAAAAATTTTAATGCAATATTATTCATAAAATGTTTTTGAAAATGATTCAAAATTGGCTCATTTTGGACCAGAGTGAGTGCATCAAAGAACATTAGAGCCCTTAAGCAAGTCCTGGAGCCCGGCTACAAGGAACTTTCTGCTTTTTAATACATACACCACTTCAAACTCCCTGTTTGTAGGCCACCCTGTTACTTAACCATAAGCGAAGGTATTGAGAATGATATAGTGCTTACATGGCACAGACGTCTGGGTTGAAGGCTGAAAAGAATATCCTTCTCTGCCCACCATACTTGAGGACCACTCTAAGGATTGCATCCAATGATTGATTCATGTCCATAGGGGTTCCATCGTACTCAGGGCCAGACTTCTGTAAGTGAACAAATGGACCATTCGAGACTTAAATCCTAGCCTAAAACAATTACTGATCATCTTAAGAGGTGGAGGGGCAGGGGGGGGGGGGTCGCCGGTGATCACTCTCGGGAAAGCATTGATTAATTGGTGAATATCTGTAAGAATTCCACCACTTCTGTAAATAAGTGAAACATCAAGATGATTATCAGGTACACTCTAAGATAATTATTATTGATTTTGAAATAGGGGGAGGGGGGGGGGTGGAGGTGTAGGTGGTCACAACTGAGTGACCAAGATTGCATCCAGTGATTGGTTGCCATAATTAACGAATCATGAATTTTGACTGCATGGTGACCAGAATCTAAATACTGTTGTGACTAAAAATTATCTCCGGTGGGCAGTTTTCACCTGGGATCCCTTCAAAAGCAATAAGTACAGTAATTGCCTCCACTGGGTAGTGTTGTGGTCATTCACCTAAAGACGATCAGAGCATACTGATCGTAACATCGAGAATCAAAGAGCTCATCAGCCTTTTTCCTTAGAAAGAATTACATGGTGTAACCCTGAAAATTTTACCTACATTATGGTTCTTTGTTTTATATGACTTGAGAACAGTTTGGAGGTAGTGAAGCAATAACATATCAAATGGTATTGATTTTTTTTTATTGTATTGATACTGTACAGGTACATTATAAGCAACGGTCCACAACAGAGCTTAACTTAACAATGCAAATTTTACTATTGCTTTGGTTAAAGTGAAATATTGTCAAGTGATATCGAACAGGAATGCAGGGCCCTCATTAAGTTTTTAGAATATTTCACTTGTCATGCTCACTCATGAAATAGGCTTAGGCTTATCAGCTTGTGGGCTTTAACCATGTATACCTGCTCAAGGCCATTCAATATTATATCATTGGTATCATACATCAGAAATATACATACCTCACAGACCATTGGGTATTTGATTTCTATGTCGAAACCACAATGTACTGGAACAGTCTGCAAGGCCTGTGAGGAAAAAAACATGTAAAGAGGTTGTTAAGCCAGCATTATCAACACCATTATCACCATCATCACCCCCATCACCCTTTCCATCATCACTATCACCACCACTTATAAACTCATCATTAAAATGATCCTTGTGATCTTCTTCTTCTTCCTCCTCTTCTTCTTCTTTCTTCTTCTTCCCTCTTTTTCTTCTTCTTCTTCATCTTCTACCTTTTCTTCTTTTTCTTGTGTCTTTTTTCCCTTGTTCTTCTTCTTCTTTCTTCCGGTATCACCCCCATTCAACGATGGTCACAACAAGAGATTTTTCGTTTTCAGATAAAAAGCTCAGGAGACACTGAAAAATTGCCCCGCAGAGAAAGCTACAATAATTTTCATCAGTAATTTTGTTGTACATGAAAAATGGTATTCCCTTTCCTGAAAATCATGAAGCGATAACAGTTTATTCAAAATAAGGTGAATACCTATAATCTGATAAGATACATTTATCATCCAAAAAGGAATAAAAAGGAAGAAAGAAAAGGAAAAAGACATTAGATAAATTGATTTCCTTACCGTCTGCAGTTCACCAAAGGCTAGAGCATCTTCTTCAACTGCTGTCGTAGTTTCACACAAAAAGTCTGAATATGAAATATAACCATACAGATTTAGTTTGCGTACTGGGTAGATAACGGCTAGCTTATACAGTCTTTTTGTCTTTCTTATATAGAATTTCCCAATAAAAACACATTTCATAGTGAAAACAAAGGATACTTGGGAATAAATGTCTTATTTAATATTTTTTTTGTTCAAGTGTGAAGACTTCTGGGAGAAGTGATGTTTATGACATTTGGCTATTTATCTGCAGAAAAAGAAGACGAAGAAGATTAAGAAGAAGAAGATTAAGAAGAAGAAGAAAAAAAAGACACAAGAAGAATAAACAAAGAAAAAAGAGAAGTTGAAGAAGAAGAAAAGAAAACCCCCTTTATGTGCAGAAGAAGAAAAAGAAGAATAAAGAAGAAGAAGAAGAAGAAAAAAAAAAGGAAAAAGATGAAGACAAGAAGAAGACAAAGATGAAGACATAGAAGAAGACATGTCTCCAATCAGATGGTTTTACAATCTTATTACTCATGACAACTTTTTCATGTCTAGCTACAACATTTATTTTTTTCTGCAAAATTGTCCCATTTAAACAACATATAAAGCCCATTTTGTCATATGCAAATATGAAAATATACGTATGAATAATGACTCTTAAAAGTCACCCTAATACTAACCTGTCGTCCCTTTCCCAACAGGAGCTAGTTTCTATTCAGAAAAGAAGATAGAAAATACATTTTTACAATTTATACATACAGTATCATATTAAGTAATCAGGACTGAAAACTAGTAATGAATTAAAAGAGATATTTGCCTACATAATTTGTGCTTTTTTTTTCTAAACATAAAAGTCAAAATTAGTCGATGGAATTGTGAAATCATTGAGACAAATTAAAGTAATTTGAAATTAATTTGTGTACATACATCGGAGTAATGGAACATTAATGCCAAATTTTTGTTCTTAAAGGCATGGTATTTTACCTACATCGCTACCACTGCTGTAATATATTTCAATTGTCCCATCTTTCAGTGAAGGCATAAAAAGAACAATTTTCGGTTCATGTACCCAAGCATCATCATGCTTGCAGTATGCAGTTGGTGAGGCATTGTGGGGCATGGCTGTCAACACATCGGGACATTGTGAGCAGCAGATGGCAGTATACTGTAAGTAAATCTGAAGCAGTGTCAGTAGAATACCCTGCCTTTAAAGCCCTTCTGTACTAGTTTGACCAGGGAGGATTAGATTTCAATGCAAGGTCATTGACAGGTGGTTATCTCAATAAATCAGCTCTCAATTAACATAAGAAAAAGGGGATCATGGGGGACCAACAGGCACCGATTAGGCATTGTTTGCTATCTAGAGAGCGCAAGTAGCTATAAGTAGTGCAGTGGGGCTTTAAAAGTGTAGGAATGGGTCAGGCTTACTCTGATGACAGCTAGTTGTTCAAGAGTCATATCCTTGATGGCAAGCTTTGCAATGTGCGTATTCGTTGAACTCCCAGGCTGTATAGCAGACAAAGAAATGAAGAAAGAATGACAATCTAAAGCCCCCATTTATCTTTCACATTACGAAAGAAAACAGCCAACATCAGGCATGCATGCAGAAAGATCAACTTTGTGTATGACATGAAATTTAACTGAAGAGATGGGAACCTTAAAACTGTTATTGTGCTTTATAATCCTTCACACAATGCTGGTGAATACTTGTTAACAATATTTTGTGTGATGGAATATACCGATACTCTTAAAGCTGGAATGAATGTACTTGATACTGTACATGTTTACATTGCGAAATGTATGGTTAAAAACGATTTCAACCTCTCAACATGTTTTTCTTTCTAAAATTCCTTAAGTCAAATGCAAGGACAGTCACGCCAAAAAAATAAAATAAAAGTAAAATAAACATGGACACAAACACACTCAAACCCAAATCATATTAGATAAATGTAGAAACTTAAACCCTTAGAGTGCCACCAAGATTATAAACATGTATTATAAATAAACAATTTCAGGGGAAAATTTCAGAACACTTTTTATGAGTCATCTTGACATACACATCGTGTCGTGACTTTAAATTTTTAATTTGAATCCACTTTGAATTGTTACATAAAAACCAATCTCTTCTAAATTGAAAAATATTAGATTTGATACAAACATTTACAGGATCAAGCAGTCTATGGTGCACTATTCTTGCATTTGACATCAATCAATTTAAACTAATATAACAAAAGACCAAATTAACAAGAAAAGAACGAACAAAAAGGGTAATTGTGAGTTGAAATGTCAGAGGTACCTCTTGCATGCACAATGAGAACTGGAAATCATGGAACAAGACTGGAAAACCATCTTTGGTGACATGGACATCAAACTCAACAAAGTCAGCCCCCTACAGAGAGTCAAAGGGAAAGTTACATTTTTAAATGTATTTTTAAATTCTACACATAATAATAATAGTGGGTTCTTGCATAGCACTCATGTCCGTAAGATTTGACCCTCATGGCGCTCCCAATTATTACCCTAGCTTTAGCACGGCTGCCATACGGCGCTCTAGCATTTCAAGGAATAAATTCCTACCAGGTACCCATTTACTTCACCTGGGTGGAGTGTGGCAAATGTAGATCAATGTCTTGCCAAAGGACATTAGTGCGGCGGCGGGACTCGAACTGCGGACCTTGTGATCGACAGTCTAGCGACGTATCCACTCGACCACAACACCTCTACTCACTTATGTACATGTATTTGCTGTGATATAAAATCGTGCAGTACAGTATATTTAAACCTCTCATACACGCCCTCCCCCCTCCCCTTGAGTGAAAAAAAAAGTATTCAGGGAAAACAAAATGGCATCTAACAACATTCCCCCCTTTGGAGTAAAAAAATCCCGAAAAATAGGAGTAAAAATCGGGAGAAAAAAAAAATCAGGGAAAAAACAAAAAAATTTGGGAAACCGGTGTAAACTGGGTAATTATCAGGCCTAGCCATGTCAGACACATTTCTGCAAAGATTTCCCACAAAAAAAGGTGTTAGAATACAAATATTGATAAAAGAACATATAATTTGGGTTTTAAATTTTATATTCTTTCATCAATACTCGACTTCAAACAGATTTGTTTTGAAGATCAATTTATATGAAATTTTGCCATCAAATTTTGGGGGCTCCCAACACTCTAGAGGGGCTTTAAAACAACCCGCGATACACTGCTGTATTTAACCGCAGCATATAATGAGATCAAGCTTTTGAGGTGCTTACTCACATGGGTAGCAGCTTCCTTGAAAGAATAGATGGTGTTTTCAGGAATGGACACCAGTTCATCCGCATTAGGACTGAAAACAAAAATTTGAAATCAAATGTTACAGAAAAAAGCAAAATGAGACAGGTGTAAATCTATTTCTATAGAACTGCAAACATGTAAATGTATGTACATGTAGCAGCTAAAAATTTACTTTTTTACTGTAAAACAATGACACCAATGTGTCAATGAACTTGTTTGGGGTATTTAAAGAGGTAAATATGAAATATTTTGATACTCTCTTTATTGATGTTCCCAGTTTGGACATAAACGTGAATGTTAAAAGCAAATATTAATATTAATATCAATGTTAGGGCACCTTTGAATGTTAGGAACAGATAAATGGCGCTACACAAGTGCTGTGGATCATCATCATCATCATTAATTGTATAGGATTGTAATTCATCCAGTCAGGTTGAGTGATACATACTCGGTGATTAGAGAGTGGTCTTTGAGTGATCTTCCCATTCCTCTGTGCCCCACATTGAGTGCCTGGTTCCTTCTCTTCCAGTGTGTAGCATAGGACACTTCCAGACTGTGTGCTTCGAGATTCTTCATCGGTTCAATCACTGCATAGGAAACTGGGTAAAAAAAGAAGGTAGGATATACATGCACATTTCATTGGTGTGAAAAAAACTAACAAGAACTGGCTGAAAGAGTTGGTTGGCAACCAGAAGTTATACAAAGGCATGTTAACAACACTATTTATAAGCATAGAATGTACAAAAGAAATAGAGTATAAAGAAATAAAGAAATAGAGTATGAACAAGAAAAGAAAAATACAAATAAGTGCACATTGCATCATTATCACACATTGATATCAAGGAGAGAGAGAGATTAAAAAAAAAAAATGAGATAACCGAGGAGAGGGAGAGAGAGGAGGTAGAGAGAAAAGAGAGAAAGAGGGAGGGAGAGAGAGAGAATCAGATGCAAGAGGAACATTCCAAAAAGGCTTCCAGCACACCAATCTTAGGGCTGCCCCTGGACGTGAGCTTTAACTTACCCACCACATGACCAAGTGAGAGACTAGCATCATCAAAGAAATATAGAGGGGCTTTGCCAACACTGTTGATAAGAGTGTTGCTCATGATCACACCTTCTGCCAAAATGCTGATATCTCCCTTTAACCGTTTGGGACTTTCCTTCTTGGTAGGCAACCTTCCACCTTCTTGTATCAGCTGAATGATGAATTTCTGATGGGATATGATTGAAGAGGAGTACGCATAATAATAATAATAATATTCCGCTTTTATACAGTGCTTAATACATTGACGATGTCTCTAAGCGCTTTACATATATTTTATTACCCAGGTCATCTGATTCAGTAATTGTAATTGTTGAATTTCCCTGTTTTTCCATGAAAATATAACATAAAACAGACATTTAAAAATCTTTCAACACCTGTAAATGTTTGGAATGATATATAGAGCCAATTTATTGCTCTGTATCCAATTTACATCCACCTAAAACTTAATCAAATTATAATAATATAGTTGGGAGAATTTAGAAATCGATCAGATCAGTTTTTACAAATTGTTATCATTAATAATGGTCTTTGTTCGCTCAAACTTTCAGATTATCTTTAATTGTACATCTAGCATTAAAATCAATACCTTGGCACCATTTCTCTGATCTGAACAATGTTACAACTACTCCGAAGATCAAGATACATTCATTTTGATCTAAGGAGACACGAACGAACGAACCAAGTCTCTTTAAAGAGAAGGTTGAGTTCTGGGAAGAGGTGAAAAATAATTTGTGAGCATTATTTTTGTTATTATGCAAGTGTGGAGGAACATCAGATTCCCTGAAAAACATGGCTCTTCAAATGCCTTAATATTCTAAATATGGCATGTTGAGGATTCCAGAACATTGCAGTACTCACCAATACGCTAGATGATAAAACTTTTCTGATCGATTCCACACTATTTCTTTCACAATGCAAACGCATGACCAGAACTCAACTTTATCTTTAAGGGTTAACTAATCACTCACCACTTCGTGGTTTGTGGGTAAACCTTGGGTGGAGAAAAGAAGAACATCTGAGCTTGTTTCTAACATCTCTCCATGCTCACACTGTGGTCTAGGGGAGATATCATTCTCACTCAGATTCTGTATTTGTAAAAAAGAAGGAAAAACTAATCAAACCTGTCTATAAAACCAATTTACTATATGTAAACATGTTCAATTTAGAACTCAACAAATGCAATGAGAATGAAAAAGTCAATTTAAAGTAACATACCCACCAACCTTTCAAAGTAATTTTATTTAAATTTTAAATGGGAATCTCTCAAGGTATACTTTGGAATGCAGTGTAGTGTATTTTTTACACTTTTTCACAGGGTTTCCAAAAAAGACAGGTCTCTAGAATTTTTCACACTAAATGTGAATTATTTGACTCATTTAGATATGAAGCGTTGACCAATGGCAGTTTAAAACAAAATTCTTGTAAGTGAATGGCAATTGAGTGCAACAAAGGTTGTACCGAGGTATTCACTGAGCTCTGTGTTATAAGATACAGAAATATGACGCGTATTTCACTGTACTATAGTTCCGATTTTGAACAGCCATGTTTTACGTACTGCTTTACTTCCGAATAAGGCTTTACTTCAAATTAGGAATAATTGGCTGCTATGCAGTAGCACTCACATGAACAAGGACAGGAACGGGACAAGTAGAGTTTGTGATATCTATGGCCTTTATACCAAGACGACAGTGGCTTGAATTCAAACTGGATGTCAGACTGGTGAGGTTTGCTTTCTCAAACATCAAATGGATTTCTCTGGTAGCTACTAATGGGCCTCTCTGCACACTGCATTCTCCTGTAGAAAGAACACGTATCGCGTAGATGTTACAAGTTGAAAACCACTGCACAAATCAAGACACTTTTTGTATTTTGTTTTTTCAAAAAAAGTTATTTAGCCTGATGGATTTTGATGGATTAATCATAAATTGTCTTACAATAATCATTTGGTATATAGTCCTTAGCTATTAATTTTCCAGTAATTTGAATCATAAAACCTGTCATTATTGGAGATGCATTTCATGTAAGCCAGCCTACAGGACCTTTGTGAAAAGCAGTTTGAAACTTACAATAAAAATTCATACAAATAAATAAATAGATACATAAACAATCAACAACAAAAATAGACAAATAAATGAATGAATAAATAAAAAAAACTAATAAATAAATACAACAATTAATACAAAAATAGATTATTCGATTAATGTGATATGATTACTATACAGTGTAAAATAATTGATCTCCCCAAAGAAACCTGTAGCTAGCAAGGACTTAATAATAATAATGATAATAATAATAGTGGGTTCTTGTATAGCGCTCATGTCTGTCATACGTGACACTCCTGGTGCTCCTAATTATTACCCTGGCTTTAGCACGGCTGCCATACGGCGCTCAAGCATTTCAAGGAACTAATTCCTACCAGGTATCCATTTACACCACCTGGGTTGAGTGTTGCAAATGTAGATCAATGTCTTGCCAAAGGACATTAGTGCCGCGGCGGGACTTGAACCGCGGACCTTGTGATCGACAGTTCGGTGACATATCCACTCGACCACAACACCTTTACATTCATTAGAATAGGTTTCTTAAGACTTACCATACTTTCCAAAGGTTTCCAATCCTGTGGAGCAGGTCTTCTCTGCAATTGGGAGAAAAGATTGTGTAGATGTGAGTAGTTGTCTGTATGTTCATTTGCACAAAATTCATCACTTTACACTTCTCTAATATAATAATATTTTCTTTACTTGAATGTTTAAAAAGATAAAGGCTATATTTAATTATTCCCATTTAAAGAACTTTAACAAAAATGTCCTAAACCTTTTGCATCCAATCTAGAATAATATCTTTTGATATTTATTTTTAAAAATCCAAGGTGACTATAGAATGACTTCCATGTAATGGATCTATCACAAATTAGAATAAAATTTAATACATATTGTCCTTATCAATATTTTATCAAATGAAAACCTTATTCACTTTCTGCTTCTACAGTACCTGTATTCAAATAAATATGATGGACGGATAAGTTTTCCCCTTACTTTCTCAAGCATCATAAAGAAAGAAATTGAAAGATTGTATAATAACTTTGATAATTTTGAACAAAAATCCCCTTACAAATACTTGCTCATGCACACTGATAACAAGGCCAACTTGTTTTGAAGACAACTTTCTTGTAACCTGGCTTAGTCATTCTCAATGACTTCACATGTAAATGACTCATGGATTTCTGTTTGGAATTGGGGAAAGTTGAGCAGTGATGAAAGAACACCCCACAACCCCCCCCCCCCCTCCACACACACATAATTAAGATTCCTATCCTTTTAATATGATCTTTTACAGTGCATGTAAAAAAAACAATGTCATACCTCACAAAGATTAATATATGGCAAAAAAGGATTAAGTTTTGCTTAGGTTCCTAAAAATCAAGCATATAAAAATTACTCTAGGGGCTTGGAGCACATTATACGTCTATCATCTTCAATGAGGAATAAATAATTACCAGACACACTGATCTGTCGCGGAGAGAGATTTGTTTCCCATTGGAGAATTTGAGGAGTTGACGAGCACATGAAGTTGCAGACAGCATAACGGTACTGAATGACTGACCCTTTTGCTGCTTCTACATCTATGTCGCATGTCCATCTGGTGTTATAAAGGAAGAATAAGAGATCATGCAGATGATAAGGAATCATTTTTTTTCTCACAGTTGATCAAAGAATAATAACCTGTTCTCCTCCCCCATTGTGTTCCTGAATACTTCGGCTACGTATTCAGATTTGTGATCTCATCTAAAGTCAGAGACAACCATGGTCAATTTTGAAGAACAACAAAATTATAGCAGCGGCATATAAAATGTAGTACAGCATCCCACTAAGTTTAAAAGATATTATAGGTAAAGACCAGTATTGGAAACGCCCCAATTTCAAAAAATGAAATGGAAGCTCTTATTAATCAGGTGAAAGAATATGTTTTGAATAATACATGATGATAAAAATGTTGAGGGGAAACCGCCTAGTAATTGATATATTTGGTAAATTAGTGTATCTCTTACCTGTTGAGAGATACAAATGCACGTGTCGCGCACGTGTGTGTAGTCCCATATTTCTGTGTACAGTGATTCTAACTTTATGAAGACTAGGCCAAATTTCTTATCATTTTGATGATTCCAGAACCTTGCAGTACATCTATGCTAGATGATCAACCTTTTCTGATCGATTTCACAATGTTTCTTTCACAATGCAATTGCATGACCATAACTGGTCTTTAGCTTTAAGCTCACCTTGCCACCTTCAAATTTTGAAGATCCCTTAAACATGCAGACTACTTTCCCTGATTATCTAGTGTCGATCTCCTACTTTTTCCTGTAAGTGCGGTTGGTAAGATTTTGTTTCAGCGCCCCTAATAGTTGATGTGATCAATGTTTTATTTCATTACAGGTGAAATCATGATATTTGACATCATGCACATGCTGCATACATGTATCTGTAAGACTCACACACAGCAAAAGGATACTCATAAATTATCATGAATGCATGACCTTGGCCGAGTGTTGTGACTCCATGGCTTCTGTTTGTATGAATAGCCGATATTATATCATTGAAGTAATACATGAAGTAGGAAGAGTTTAGCAGGTCTACATATACTTTTCCCCTTTGGTAATACTTCTGTGCTTTCCTGCTATTGTTTGGTGATGGTTTGAAGTTTTATTATGGTTATTCACTTTGACTTGCTTTTGATTCTTCTTTTGTATCTGGATAATCTGGCACATTGATGATAATCCCAAAATGTGGATTCGATTCTCATTTTGTAGTTGTATTTTGATTACATGTTAATGATATATTTTCAATTTCAGATAAATTATTTAGTAATATGTTTTGATTCTTCTTTTGTATAGTTGTATACTGATGAAATATGGATTTGAAGGAGAATTCTCAGGGTCAGCTGGAAGGACAGGAAAACAAATGAGTGGGTAAGTAACAGATTGATCGAACGAAGGAATGTGAGACAAGACAAGAAAAGGAAGCTGGTTAACTGCAAAACAAAAGAAGAAATGTTGTACTAGCAACTATAGAAGGTGAAGTTAGTTGAATACGGTAGAAGTTTGTATAGTAGACATCCTGCATGATGGATAGACAATATCAAGAATTGGTATGGTGGAATAACAGTAGTGAGAGTAAGAGAGAAGCCAACCTCCCAGAAGGGGCTATGGCATTAACTAGTTATTATACTGATGATAAACCCCCACTGCATGCTGCTCCTATTTCAATGATTTGATTTGATTTATCAAATAATCAGACCAATCCTAATTCATGTACAGTATCAGCACCCAAAATTTACACGGAGCAGTAAGCGATTTAGCTCTGGAAAACTCCTGAAATAGCTCCGGTAATATAACCCGGACCTGCCAACCTCTGGAGTTCAGAAACTGTATTCTTTAATCCCAAAAGTTGTATTTTACTGACAAAAATTGTATAAAAAACAAACAAACATGGATCAATGCCTCTTACAGTTCCTACATATAGGAAGAATTTTTGTATGGTTCATTGTTGAATATGCATGATTTTTGTCACGACTGGTGCGTTTGATGAACAAATGAACATTGCCAAATTGCTGATGTGAGATGCTTGTACAGTGTAGGATACTTTACAGGACAGAATGGGCATTTTGCCATTAAAAATGGCACAACTTCATATTTTATTGAGGAAAATTGTACTGTCGTATTTACTTCTAAAAATCATACAAAATACAATTAAATCGTACTGGCTGGCAGCTCTGTATAACAATACAATACTCAACTATTACTGTCAGAAAAATCACACTTTTACCAAACCAAATCCTAAAAGAGCTCCTGTGCAGGGAGAAGATTTTTTTTTGTTTACACTGTAGAGTATACATACCTTGATCCTGAGAGATCTTTGGTCATGGGTTGTAAAGCAAGAGGAGACCAAGAACCCAAGGATGGAACACTGCCGGTGATACAGACCACTTCATTCTCATGGCAGGGTTCATAGTTCACTTGGAAAGTTTGGAGCATCATCTTTTCTCATAATAGTACACACCACCTATCACAGAACAGAAGGAAATGGGGGAAATTGCGATTTATGGGCATTTCAAGGACCAAGCAATGTGGATTAATTGATAAAATAAACACGCGTACATGACTGTACATGCCACGAAAACACATTCATACGTACCCCCAAAAAATATGACCTACTTTATCAAGTAATTTTCTTTTTTTACTGATGATGATGAGATGATGATGGTACAAAAAGAACAAAAATAATAGTAATAATAACAAGAATGTGAAAATTCTGTCCAGAAACAGAGTGATAACAATTTGCTAACCTTCCACGTCTTCCTGGTAATAATGAGCTACCATGTGATTTACATGACAAAGATACTGATCTTTTATGAGAGTTTGCGATGCGATGATTTTCATTGAATTTTGTCCGAGATCAGATTTTGACATCCAAATTCAGTGTAAAATACTAAAAAGGTGCACTGATATCAAAACAATAAATCTTATTGAATGAATTTACACACTGCGAACCATTTGGAATTTTCTGATGGGTGCATCATGCATGCTACTGCTTTGCTAGCGCGCTTTCCTGTGCTGCACTGGACAATTGTCAATGATGACCATGTAGCGACTCTTACATTCGCCCTATTTTTATTGTACATTCATGTGTCCAGTATTTTACCATCACGCTACTTATTTTAAATGCATTATTCGGACCACGTGTGTCTTTTCCTTCAATCACACATCGTGTTTCCGCACATCCGTTCACCCGCATATTTTCAACGCCAAAAGGTTTTTCTTCACTCCCGCTTACACCTCGGTCGAGTCCACACGTCTCTGTGATCCTCTCTCTACACTCGAGATTTCTTCTGTGCCTTTCGCCTATTCTACGACACATCTACATTTTCTCTGCCGTCTTCAACGGACTGGCAGTTTCCCAGTGGAACGTTATAATCAGGACCCGACATGGCGCTTGATTCTCCGCTGGGAGTTGCCAGTTTCTTCGTTCCGGTAGCTCTTTTCTTACACGAGCTTGACTCACCGTAACTCTGATGATTTTCTCCATCAAAGTCCGGATCATTCATCGAGCGACTCACTGCTCCGTCTTAATTCACCACCGGCTTGATGTCTACATTTCTACTCTTCGCCTCCGACATCGAACGACCCACTGTTCCGTCGTCGAGCGCCACATCTCTTCTCGCCTGAGAGCTTCTTCATCATCGTTATCACAAGTGTCAGCGTCGAGATCCTTCACCTCTCTTCAGCTACGTACAATGAAGCTGCATCCCCGCCTTCAAGCCTCCGTACATTCATCGCGTGAGCCCCTTCCTTGGTTCATCACATCTCTTCATCTGCATTGGACTTTCCACGTCATTTCTATTCAGTCGTAAGCTTTTATTCATGTCATTCCATTTACTCATGTCCATCTCATGATTATTTTATGTAACTACGTGCAATATCTTCAATTCTCATTTATGCATTCTCATTCCGAATCTTCGGCTTGTGCTTGGCTACACTTTGCAAGTGTACGGTCAGCCTCATCAGTACCTAATAAACACAACGAAAAGGGAATAGTCTACTTTCTTTCATATATTTTATTGTCAGTGCAACCTTGTTTCCTTGTAGCTCAATAAGAATTATGTTGTGTGACGAGTGAACACGCTTATACAATTATCATTCACAATACTATTCACACTCATTTCTCTAGATCTAGTAGATCTAGGCCTAAGTAGACCTAACTTTGTTAGATCTAGACTCTACAACCACACATAAGAGCATCACTATCCTGGCTGTGTAGTAAAAGCTGTGCTTTTGACTCTCAACATTTCAAACACCACTGTACAAAACTCAACTGATTTCACTCAAAATCGGTACTTTAGTGACAATTGATGACACCTTAACAGCAGTCAAATACATTTTTTTCAACTTACTGATGTTAAAAAGAATAATTTAAAAATTCAAATTGTAAGTCTAGTGTCAAACTTTGCTTACAGCTGCATCGACATGATTGTGTACAGTCTATGCGATATTGTGTGGTGTGTATATTTGTGTATAGACTTCTAGGTCCCTGCCTCACAGCATGTATGCAGTGCTAGAGGTCAATACGCATTAGCATTGACTCTCTTAGACCGAATTTTCCGTCTCTTTCGTTCGTTAGCCTCTTATTGGGGTAGGGTCGGCTCTCTCTTTAGAGACGGAAGCCGTTTATACACATGTCCTTGCTAACGCCACGGCCAGTTCTGGTCGTAGCGTTTTGCCCCAAAATCCCCCAAAATGTCATTTTACCTCGAGCATGTTATATTGTAAATTAGGCCTAGGCTATAATAAATCAGTTCCACTTACCAACTTGACTGAAATAATCAGTTTAATAGTCCCTTTTTAGGAAATTATGGGTCAAAATCGAAATCCATTTTGAAAATCTTTTTCAACATGGATTCCGATTTTGACCCATAATTTCCTAAAAAGGGACTATTAAACTGATTATTTCAGTCAAGTTGGTAAGTGGAACTGATTTATTATAGCCTAGATCTAGGCCTAATTTACAATAGGGTCTATAACATGCTCGAGGTAAAATGACATTTTGGGGGATTTTGGGGGCAAAACGCTACGACCAGAACTGGCCGTGGCGTTAGCAAGGACATGTGTATAAACGGCTTCCGTCTCTAAAGAGAGAGCCGACCCTACCCCAATAAGAGGCTAACGAACGAAAGAGACGGAAAATTCGGTCTATGACTCTCTATGCTTTGCTGGAGTGTCTACAACCACTCTTGAGAAATAACCGACAGTCTGTGACTTCTAGCTGGTATGACTATGAGGAATTTTTAAATCAAACTGACATTTGTCGACCTTCCCCATAGACATATAACCCTTTCCACAGAGATGACCTAATGCAATTTCTAGAATATCCATTGACATCAATTTCAGGAATACCACCCGAACAAGATACCGGTACCTAGATTTCGCGGCCCCGGCCCCGCCCCTGGCCTGGCGGCCTAGGCCAAGCATGGTGCTCGCTCAGCCTTGCCTGAGCCCTATACGATTACATCAAGTTACCGGTTACAGCCTCAGCTCACTGCACTATTTACTCACCAAAATGTATAAACCGAATAGGTATAGTGATAGTCTCCTTTTGAACACACGGATGAAAACTTAACTCGCAGATGGGTATATCTTTGCGGGCCTTTGCTGCAATTCTGCAATGTTTTTATTTACTCGACCAGCAAGATGCAGACGATTCGTGATCCGATTGAATCCACACGCGCACGCGCACCAATACCATAAAGACGTACGGTCCAAAATTGAGAGATCCAAAATTGAGAGATATAACACGTGCCGTAAAGTAATTTGACGACAATAGTCAAATCACTGACTAATCGCCAATAACTCAAAACACAACAACAACAACAACAACGGTACCGTACCCTGCATGCCCGGTTTCCGCTCGCTAGGCAGTTTTTCTCTCAGATAACTTCTCTAAAAATGAATTATACAGGCGCTAAAGTATATCAAATTGTAGCAAAAATTCTAAAAAAAATCCAACCACACCATTCTTACGCCTGAAATCGTAAGTTATTGTCCGTAGTGCACCATCTGCGTGAGGGATATTCCTTGCTCATTTCCGCTATGACCCGTCCTAATTCCGCTCGCGCGCCACGCATTTATCACGACAATATAATAGACCTGATTCAGAGTAAGCTCTCGCAATTCAAGATCGGCTTTCGTCATGCTAATAAGCTACACTTTCTGATCTGGGAAAACAAATATGAGTTACTGCATTTGTAATGTCCTGCTACTTGTCTTTTAATGTTTAAATAATGGTTATCAGTCAAATCTGAGTGTTCTATCGCTATTATTATTATTAAATCGGAATAGGAAAAAAAAAAATCACTAAGCCTACAGTCGGATTATTTTGTTAAGTACTATATTGTAGGCCTATGGCTTTGTTTCCTAGTTGTTCCAGGGATATGTGAGTTAAACTCACATATCCCTGGTTGTTCTATTATGCTGTATTTGATAATGCATGTATAGGCCTACTTGAAGACAAAACTTTGTCTAATTAAGTTACCGAAATGATCTTAAAACGAAGTCGTGGAATGGTGGTGGTGCATGGGGGGGGGGGGGGGGGGGGGGGGGGGTCACACGTTTTCGCCACTCCAGCAATCAAAGAGAGTTGAAGGCTAGTCTCTAATCATATTTTGTATGAGAAAAAAATCTGCAATTTCTGCAACAAAAGGGGGAGTCATGGCCACAAATTAATGATGAAAATTCGACCCACATAACAATTTTTTGATTTTGTCATATTCTGAAACTACATAGGCCTACTTTTTTTTTTACCATACCCTAAACAAAAAATAAGCATGAAAAATTAAGACTAGAAAGCCATAAAATTAGCGGTTTTGTAAATTAGAGCAAACTTTTCATGCGTGACCGGCCTTGAACAAAGAATCTAAGAAAAATTATTTATTTTTATAAGTTAATTACTTTTGTTGGGAATACTTTTGGGAAATGTGAGCTTATGTTTGTCTAGGAATCAGTTTTTTGATTGGTTGTCTGAATTCAAAATAGGATAAGTCAAGAGTGTGATGTCTGAATCTGTTTAAACCTTGCACGTTTGTTGATGAAAATGTGTCTCTAGGAGGTGATTTATTTAGAATTCCATTAAATGTTTTAATTTTCTTGTAATAATGTCATGAATAGATAATCAGCTCCGAAACAATAACAAAACAAAAGGAATTAAATCATATTAAAAAAAAAAAAAAAAAAAAAAAAAAAAACGATGTTTTTTTTTTTTGGTTGTTGTTGTTTATAATTCACACCCTAGATATATATTTACAGAACATCTGTAGTAAAGATCAGCTTTCTAGTGTGGATGGTATTTAGTAGAGCCAAATATTTAAAAATATTGGCTAATTTGCATAATTGGATGCTAATTAGCGTTTTATGGTGAACACATCATAATCGTCCTTGATATTTAACTTTTTCATTCATATATGGTTTTGTATGATTATTTTTTGCGACTTCCTTTGGAAATTGGTCAATATGAGTATACTACCAGTTCCCTGTAACCCCCTCCCCCTTAATGGCATGTAAAGGAGACTTTTAAAACAAGTTTTCCGGTTCATTGAGAGCAAAGGTAACCTTCGAACCTTCCTTCTCTAAATTTGGCCCCCTCTACTCCAGGCACGTAGCCATCGGGGGGGGGGGGGGGCCGCACGGGTTGAACTATTTTAGACCCCCTTTTTTTACCTCGATCGATTACCATGTATGTGCCCCCCCCCCCCCAACATCAAACTCTGGCTACGTGCCTGCTATACACGTTTAATTCATCCATTCATCTAGTTTAGTTATTTATTCATTCAATATTCATTCATTCAATCATTCATTGCCCAAAGAGACTTATGCTATGGATAGAGATGAAAATGTTCACCTTTTATTCGCCTTAAAACTCATGTTAACAAACCTACAAATTATTATATACGAATCCGTTTTTGCCACTTCAGCAACCAAAGAGAGTTGAAACTTTTGAAAGCTAGTCTCTAATCATATATTTTAGGAGGAAAAAATCTGCAATGACTGAACCCAACTGAACTGTGTATGGTTATCAGTCAATAGGAAAAAAAAATCACTAAGCCTACAGTCGGATTATTTTGTTAAAGTACTATATAGTAGGCCTATGGCTTTGTTTCCTAGTTGTTCTACTATATGCTGTATTTGATAATGCATGTATAGGCCTACTTGAAGACAAAACTTTGTCTAATTAAGGTACCGAAATGATCTTGAAAACGAAGTCGTGGAATGGTGGGGGGGGGGGGGGGGGGGGGTCACACGTTTTCGCCACTCCAGCAACCAAAGAGAGTTGAAGGCTAGTCTCTAATCATATTTTGTATGAGAAAAAATCTGCAATTGAATTTCTGTAAATGGGGAGTCATGGCCACAAATGATGAAAATTCGACCCACATAACAATTTTTTGATTTTGTCATATTCTGAAACTTTATCCATCGATTACATGTATGTGCCCCCCCCCCCAACATCAAACTCTGGCTACGTGCCTGCTATACACGTTTAATTCATCCATTCATCTAGTTTAGTTATTTATTCATTCAATTTCAATCATTCATTCAATCATTCATTGCCCAAAGAGACTTATGCTATGGATAGAGATGGAAATGTTCACCTTTTATTCGCCTTAAAACTCATGTTAGCAAACCTACAAATTATTATATACGAATCCGTTTTTGCCACTTCAGCAACCAAAGAGAGTTGAAACTTTTGAAAGCTAGTCTCTTATCATATATTTTAGGAGGAAAAAATCTGCAATGACTGAACCCAACTGAACTGTGTAATGTAAATCATTGTTATCATTTTGGGGGCAGTTTGGTTCATTCAACTTTACGGATCTTAATCATTATGTATATAATCTAATGTTGAAACCAATGAAATTTAATCAAATCGAAGCAGAACGAAACGAGGAAACGAATAATCAAATGACATCAAATTTTAGTATATGTGAGTAGGAATTTATATAAGCCATAATTATGATAATATAGAACGGTCTTTTTTTAATATATATAGTAAATAAAAGTGAAGTCATAGCAATGGTTGGAGTCATAATTTGGTCTCAATATAGGTTCAAATTTTATTTCAGTCCCAATCCATAAAAAACAAATTTTATGAAAGTATAAAATACAGATTATATACAATATAGAAAACAGAGAACACACACAAAATAAAAACATGTCTAACAAATTTTATACCAGAATTATACAAAGTTAATCAGAAGAAATGAATTGGGGAAACTGCAAATAAAACCGTAAGAATCTGTCGAGGCAAGCAGTCCGTGTTATCAAAATATACATATAAATTAACACCAGGGCATGGCTGCACACAAAAAACACGGCAGGATGATACAAAGTGTTGCCATTAATAGTCGAAACATATCGTATAATATGCAAACACATGACGTCATTGATAATTTATACATATAAATTCTAACTTTTTATGGCACATTATAGTGAAGTGTATTTCAATAGCTCGAGGAGTACATGTATAATTTGTTCTTCATTGATTGCATGTAATTATTCTCAAAATAGTTATTGAAACCAATTGTATAAGAGAAAAATAAAGAATCTAATGAAATACATACCATATTATGAAGAAGATTTACTGTAATATTAGGCGGTTTCCCGGCAAATTTTTTATCATCATATTAGTCAAAACATATTCTTTCACATGATTGGTAATGAGAGCTTCCATTTCATTTTTTGAAATTGGGCGTTTCCAATACTGGTCTTTACCTTTAAAGGAGTTTGTTGATTTTATATTTCGAATATCATTAGGTAAAGAATTCCATACATCTGACCCTCTATGTCTGATTGATTGCTTGGCTAATATAGTGTGAGGATTGACCACATGTAAATTGGATGACTTCCTTGTTGAATATGAATGAACCATGTTATTAGGTTGGAACATTAGAGATAATGACGTAGGTAATAATTTGATTTCAAAACGGAACAATTTGGAGGAAGTTAATATCATCAACCTTTAAGCATTTCAGTTTAACAAATAGTGGGGTAGCATGGTCACGATAACCAGCTCGGGTGCATATGCGTACAGCTTTCTTTTGCAGCAGAAGAATAGTATTAGTCACACACTTGGATGTTGCCCACAAAATATTACAATAAGAGATGTGTGGTAAAAGTAAGAGCATTATATAGCATAACCAATATTCTATCAGAAACAAAACATTTTATATACAGTACGCCAATATTTTTGGAGATGTGTTTTACATGGTCGCTCCAGTCAAGTTTTTCATTGATATAGACACCAAGGAACTTTGTACATGTCTTTCTCTCTAAAGGAATATCATCTAGTTTAATAATAAGAGCAAGGTTGTCATTATATTTTCTACCTCTAAAATGAATATAATTTGTTTTAAGCAGATTGAGAGAGAGCACATTACTTGTAAACCATAAAGTCAACTTTGGTAGTTCAGAATTTAGTTTCTGTTCAGGAGTGTTGATTTTACGATGAGACAAGAAAACATTCGTATCATCTGCAAAGTATAATTTAAAGTTTTAGATACATTACAAATATTAATGATATAAATAAGAAATAATAATGGACCCAGGATGGATCCCTGCGGAACATCACATTTAAGATACAGAATGTCAGAGTTAACAGAGTTATAATAAGTGTATTGTCTTCTCATAGATAAATAACTCGCAAGCCATTGTAAAGCTTTACTCCTTATTCCATAATGCTCTAACTTAGAAAGAA